GCCGCTCCCCTGCGGGGGGTTCTGCACAGCCCCATCCTCCTCTTCTGCTGGGGTGGATCCCGGTTGGGCTGCGAGCGCGACTCGTTCCTCATCTAAAAGCTGCTCCCATGTATCGAGTGATGGGATTCGCGTGGCACCCAACGCTGCGCCCCGCTCCCAGCCTTGCCCCTGTGTTTGCTGCAGGTGGAGTGCGTGGACGAACACCAAGCCAACCAGGCCCTGGAGGAGGTAGGGGTGCAGCCTTCCTTTGCCAGCTTCATTTGGAAAGAGCAGAGTCTTGTTTTAAACAGGCAAACCCTCTACCAGCAGCATGCAGGGCAGCGGTCTCCATCCCTTTTAAGTAGGAGATCACCTCTGGCTTTTAAAATAAACCCAAGATCTACCGTGCGCTGCCGCCACCTCCCCCACTCCCTCCCTCTGCCCAGCAGGTAAGTCTGTGGAGAGGGAAGGAGGGGAGGCAGATCGAAGCAGAGGGAGAAAAAATTATTTGGGGGTGCACCTCCACACGCGATAAGTCCCAATCAGCCGGGCCCTGCTTAACCCCACCCTTGCTTCTGCCTCTGTGGCACTGTCCCTCACCTCAGGGGGCCTCAAAGTAGCCCCTTCCCTCCCCCATGGACTGACATGCTGGGCTGGGGTGTGGACGTGCATGCACGCGGGCACTCAGCCCCTCATCCCAGCCCTGGATCGACTCCAAGAGGCTCCGGGATCTACCACAAAAGGCTCTGAGATCCACCAGTGGATTGAGATTGTTGGTGGTTGGTGACCACTTATGTAGACTGACCTATTGTGATTTGTGCCATGACTACCTGGTAGTCCAGGGGTGGGCAAAATGGCAGATCTGGACAGTGGCCATACTCCATTTCCCAGCAGCCCCTGTCTGCGTTGCTGCAGCTGGTGACAGTGCAGGGCCAGGGTTTCCATGGAGGCTGGCCCCAGCCGTGCTGGCAGGGTGTGCAGCTGGGTGGGGGCTGCTCTAGGACTGGGGTCTTCTAGCGGTGATAGCGTGGTCCAGAGCTGGGGCAGAGTCACGATCCACTGCCTGAATACCTCAGCATGCGGGCAGTAGATTGCAACTCTGCCCCAGTTCCGGACCACATTGTCAAGATCCCAGCCCCGAAGCAGCTCCCTGCCCATCTGTGGGCCCTGCCACCATGGCTGGGGCTCGTCTCCATGGAAACCCTGGCCTGTGCTGTCTGCTCTTGGGATCTCTAGGAAACTGGCTGAAGCAGTGCAGGCAGGGGCTGCTGGGAAATGGAGTCCACCATGAGCCCAGTCCGGCCTGCGGGCTGGACTTTGCCTGCTCCTGTGGTAGGTTCTCTGACCTCAAAGACTGTGGTGACTGAGTTCAACCACTACTCTCTGATTAACAAGAGCAGTATTTGAACCTGTAGGTTCAAGTGGTCGGCTGTTCTCAGTAGTAGGCTATTAGTTCAGAGCCTGCATTTTCATAGATTCATAGATGCTAGGGGCAGAAGGGACCTCAACAGATCATCAAGCCTGACCCCCTGCCCAGGCAGGAAACAGTGCTGGGGTCAGATGACCCCAGCCAGATGCCTATCCAGCCTAACTGAAAACATCCCCTAAAAACGGGATGTGGGATGTGTTTTGGGAGTGTACATATGCAAAAGGAGGGTGGAAAAAGGATTCCATGTCACCCCCTACAGGGCAGCAATGTACAAGGGCTTCTGCTTCCATACAGGATGCATAAAAGGTACGTCCCAGCAAGTAGCATGTGCAAGGAGAATTAAGAGTTTCTTGGCCAGCATGCTCTTCCTGGCTTTCTCGGTGACCTTGGGTAAAATCGCTTTGCTTTTGTGCTTCAGTTGTGTCTTTTGCAAAACCAGAGCCTGATCTGCTTCCAAAGGCAGAGCAAGAACGATGGCTCAGCGATGCCCCTAGCAAAACTCTGGCATACACCCTTGCTTGCAGCCTCGGAGCAGCGCACATAGGTCAGATCTGTGCTCAGTGGTTTGTACCCATTTCGCTGTGCTGCTTAGGGGTTGGTGCTACTTCCTTCCAAATCACTCTTTATTCCAGTACATTCATTGACATCAACACAGTCATTTCAGAATCAAATAACTGATCACAGAGCTTGTGTGTGAATAGGAAGACAAACTGTAGCGGTTCATGGCACCTTTATAATGATAAAGCTGCACCTACACTAGGGCCATTATATTATGTTAATGGCCTTATCGACACCCGAAGCACGTGCCTGCACTTCGTGCGTCTGGCTCCACTGCTTCAAACAGTTCATTCTAGAGGGGGGGGAAAATGTGAACTGCATGTAATACTGTTAGCAGGACTACCTTAGCTCAAGTTCAAGAGAAAGCCTTACACAAGTTCCAAAAAGACTTAATTACTGGTAAGCATAATGGTACTGCCTGACTATTCAGAGTCTGTGAACTTCAAGAATCCCAGGGCCTCTTGGTGAGAATATAGGACTTGGGGCAGATCTTGGGCCTGCATTTGCTGGTGAATTTTCTACAGCTAGCATTTAGATAAAGCCTTGTAGGCACAGTGATGGCCCTGAATCTCCATTCTCATGCTTCCTAAGCAGGGAGTGTCATTTCAGATTTCCTTTCCAGATTTTTTATTGTGCCATGTCTAGTTCTGCCTGCAGGTAAAGGGAGTTCAGGACAGTGAATGCTCCTGCCAAGAGGTCAGAAATACTCTGTGCAGCCTTATGCATCACCCCCTGTTGTGCTCCAGGACACCATACAAAACCCATCAGTTTGGTCTTGGGTCTGAAGGACTGAGATCCATCTATTTATACTTCTGTTTGTTACTGAAGACTCCACATCTAGTTGGTATAAGTTATTTTAATGTTGTGGGGTTTTTCATATGCCTACAGATCTAGAAACAGCCTGATGCGTGTGACTTGACAGGTCATTCTTTCTTAAGGTGCCTGCATTGTGCATGCATACTTAAGCATTAATCAATACAGAATAATTACATTAGAAGAATTACATATCACATTTAGTGTTGCAACAGAAAAGACATTCCCCACTGACTAGTCTAATGTGAGAGACAGGGTTCACTCTGCTTAGCACCTGCCACTCCAAATGTGTGGGAATGTTTTAAGTCAGTTACTGTGTGGTTGTCATCAGAAAGTAACTGCAGAAATGACATTTCTTACCTTATCATGTGGTTGTATGTTTTCCCCACTTTTTTACTCCTGTTAGTTCTGCGGAGCTCCTAACACAGTTATGGGAGAGTGAGCTGAATTGTGTTCCTGCTCACACCTCACCAACAGAATCACAGAGTTTCAGGTTTCTGGACCTTTACGTTGAGGTTTTACCCGGAGGCCAAATTTAGAGATTTAGGCACCTCATTTGCAGGTTAATTACACCTCTGGCACACACTTTTATCAAGGTTTCTGGAGATGATGGGTGTACCTGAACAACCTAGTTTGACTTTCAGATTCAAGGATGAATTTGCAGGGCTCAAAAATATAAATCAGTACTTTTACTTGTAAACTTCTTAATTGGGATAGGATACATGGAACCCTCCAATGCCATTTTTGCAAAGTTATATTCAGATTAGAGCATCCTGTAAGTATTTCATTCGATAATTTATTTGGTAAGAAATATGAGGTAGAACTTACAAGGAGAAAAGATTTGGTTGTGGCTACTATTGTCAGAGAGATAAGATGAACAGAAGTCAGGAATCTGCTCTTTATACCTTTCAAAATTCAAAGCACACTTTTCATCCATTTGAAAGAAGCATACAAACTGTTACTCAGTGACGGTCATCTCTCTTTGCAATTTTCCCACAGGCAAGGGACCTGCTGAAACTTCAGCATTCAAACATCTGTGCTTACAAAGAATTATTTATCTCATGGGATAATAAGGTGAGAAAGAAATGGTGTTTGTTAGAGTGAAGCATGCAGTTGTTTCTGTAACCAGAGGCATATTAGTTCTTGTTTGCAACTAAGTTTTGCAAGTTTTCCCTTATTAATATGGGGCAATAGGCAGTGGGTTATATAAGACTGTTGGACCTATAGTAGAGCCTGCTTCTCTGAAGTTAAGTTAAACAAGCTGCAAAGCTATTTAGGTATGCTTCAGAATCCAGCAGTGGGGCAGCAAGGTATGGGATGGTTGGGCTTGATCTTAGAGTTTGTGCTTCCAAATGCACTCGTTGCTCCTTATGTCTTATCCTGCATAGCGGATATTTGTTTTTAAACTGTTTCTGTTCCCTTATATGCACGGCCATATAGAAGTCTTTAAAAACAAGCCCATAGGAAACCAGTAGCCAAGAACTATTTCTTACTGGACCTGACTCTACATTGCTAACTCAAGCAAAAATCCTGTTGATTTCAGTGGGATTTATGTTTCAGTGCAGTTGTTTCCTGTAGTTTCATATATAGACACTTAGGTAGTTCTTGTATGAGCCTATTCTCTTTGCTTAAATAGCCAAAATAAACAATGACTCATCTGTGGGAGACAATGTACCTGAATGGGTGAGCGCCAGATCCATTTGCGGCCAGTTGCTGACACTTATTTCTTATTGGCTATGTCCTCACCCTGCAAGTGACTAGATAAGATAAACTGTGCTCAATCCCTGTTGCAGATTTCATCTTTGTTTCTTTGTCTGGTGATGCAATACTCGGACCACGGAGACCTTTCATCTCTCATCAGAGCAAACAGGCAGAAGTTAAAGAAAATGGAACATATGGTAAAAAATTAGAGGAAGTATCTGATGGAGACAAACGAATCTATCAGTGCCTTGACTTTCTTTTGCTAGCCTCTGTCCTTTGCCACTCACCAGAGACTTCTGAGCACAGCATCTATTACTTTAAGCTGAAGACCGGAGGTTAAGAGCACTGAAGTCTGTTTCCAGACCTGCCACTGAGTCATTATGTAATGACAATAATATACTTAGTACTTTTATATGCTTTTGTGCTCTTGAGCTATTCAGCCTTTTCTTGTCTTAGTTTACCTCTGTGAAAAATTAGGATAATAATACTTGCCTGAATCATAGGGCAGGTGTGTGTTAGTTGCTTATAAGTTTGCTGCAGTTATATGAAGGATACAGTAGAAGGGGAGAGTAATATTTCCTGCTGAACTGCAGCCTGTATCATACAAAGAAGCCCTGATGTATTAAGATGGGTCTCATTTTCCTATGTAACAGTAGTTATTCTTTGCATATTCCTGCCGATAGGTGATCTTGAAGTTCCTGGGACAGATGGTGGATGCTTTGCTTTATATACACAAACAAAATATTTTTCATAGGTGAGTAGTGATTCCAGCCTCTCTGACTGTTTGGACCTTGCCTCTTTGCAGCTGAGCTATCATTTCAGCACAGCTACTCACTTAAGCAGCCAAAGATGGTGTGTTTTGATGGCATGGTGGGGAGATACAGATAAATCAGATGTCAAAATTAATTTATAGTAGGAATAGTTTTAGTTTTAACAGGTTCAGATGAAGTTGGAGCTTTCTATATGAATTATTGGAAGCATTTCAGAGTAAAATAAGGGAAATTTAAATGTATTGTTTCATTATAATATGCAGTTTAGAAACAAAACACATCTTTTTATGTGAAAAAGGAGCTTGTAGCTAAGCATCATTACACTTTGATTAAGCAGGTTGATAAAAACAGTTCTGTGTTGCAGAAACCTCAAACCTTCTAACATCCTTTTAACTGGTGAAGCGTCCTTCATGCTTTGTGATTTCAGTGTAGAAACACTTATGATTGATGAAGTGAAATGGAAGATAAGAGTAGAAGAAGGTAGCTGTTACATTTTTAATATTTTACTAGGTTTTCTTTTTAACAAGATTCAGCTGTGGTTAGCAGTTTTTAATTATTCCTTTAAAAATCAGTTAGAGATTGATTTCCCCACCCATTATGTCTTTTTTTTTCTTGGCAATAAGTAAAATCTTCACAAAAGATCGAACCAAGTAGATTGAAGTAGATTGCTTATAAAGATTGGCAACGAGTTATTAAAGTACTTAGATTCAGATCATTGACTTAAAATGTGATTAAAAAACCTAACTGTCTGATGGCAGTTTTGTGATACATACAAAATGAATTTCACGGGTGTCAGGGAAAAATGACCATGTCTCACAAACCATCATCACAGCTGAAGAGGAAAAAAGATGTTAACCATTTTGTGAGTCACTAGCTAGCTCTGTTACAGATTGTCTTATAAATGTATTGTCAAGTTAGTTTAACAGATAGTCAGATCCTGGAGAACTTATGTCAGGAGTGGTAATACTGTTCTTTTCAGAATTTTCTATGGCATATTATCAGTAAAATCTGATTCCCTGCTGAATCTTTCTAAATTGTTCTTAGATGTGAAACTGCTGTCTACAGATCACACACAGGCAAACAAAGCTATGTTTAATCAGTGTCAACAGCATTACCAATATGGCACTTATTTCAGCAGATCCTGACAGTAAATCCTGGATGGCCCCAGAAGCACTCTGTTTCTCCTTTAGTGAGAAGTCTGACATCTGGTCTCTAGGTTCTATTCTACTTGACATGATGACCTGCTTCTTTTTGAAAGTATGTAATACCAAAAGTATGTTGAACATTTCATTATGGATTTTAAGTGCTGGTTCCCTTTCCCTGCCCCACTTCTTAAAGAGATCTATACAGTGAATATATGTAAGATCTACCAGTGTTCTGTTCTTTGCAGGCAGAAGAGATAATGTCATTACTGAAGGAGATTAGACAGGACACCAGCAGTCTTGGGAAGGTTCTGACGTTAATGCAGAACAAGGATAAAAGTTCTTTGCGTTTGTGCCCTGTTCTACTTATGATGCTGCAGATTCAGCCCAGTATGAGACCCACAGCAAAGTGAGTTCTGATCATTTTTACCTGGCTCCATTCTGTCTTGTTTTTTTTCTTCTTTTTTCTCTAAGTGGGACTGTTCCTTCCTTAGCATTCAGAACAAGGGGCCTGAACCTCAGCTCCTGTGTTCTCACTTGGCCTCCATAGCTGACTTGCTGTGATATTTTGCCGCAAGGAAGACATGACTTGTCATTGCCTGAGTGTCCCCATCTGTGAAATGGATGTTCTAGTGGACACTAACTGCAGGCTCTCTGGCCAGAGTAAATAGGATTTTTTTGTTGGACAATTATGTTATAGAAAGATGATACCAAGCAATAGGTAGCTTTTAGGGGAGTGGGGTTTATTGTGGAAAATGTCAACATGAAGCACAGTTTTATTTTTATAGAAGACTCTCAAAGTTCTTGACAAACTACTTAAAGCCTCAACACTCCCCCGCAAAATAACTCAGTAGTATATCTTTAGGATGTTCAAACTGAAGGCTAAAATTTAACTGACTTGCTCAAGGTTGAGAAATTAGTGAAAGGTAAGAGCAAAACTTAGGAATCCAGACCATCATGACCCTATCTTAACCACTAAAAGACATTTCCACTCGTATAACCATGTGCACTAACACCTGTAGATTCCTCTTTTTTGTGTAACTTAACAGTGTTAACTTTCCTGACTTTTTTTCTGTCTCTCTTGTTGCCCTAGGGATCTGATCGATAATCCGTATATTGTGGAATGTCTGACTCTTGCTGGTTCACCTTTATTGAAGCAGGAAAAACATTTGCCTCCAGAAATAGTAGATGTGCTCATTGAAGGAGGAATTGAAAGTGCTCTAAGTAAGAAAGAAAATAAGTTGCCATTGAGATAATGGCATTTGTTTCTTGGGTGCTTATTTCCATTGAGAATGTATTATACAGAAATGAATAATACATTCAGTATAGCCATTCTACATGAAAAGAGATTTCACAACATGTTCAACCAAAACCTGTGCTACGTGTTTTGTAATCTTCTAAGGTTTCTAGCTCTTAGCTAATGCAAAGTGTAAAATGGACGTAAAATAATGTGTGCTAGAGTTTTGGAGATTTTCTTGAGGGAGGTTCTTGAGAGCCTTAACTCTGATTACATTAACTCTGTTAAAGATACTCAGCCAAAATGCTTTATTATATGAAGAAAAACTCCTACCTCTTTTTAAATAATTGTATTTAAATCTCTTTATATTACATTTTGAATACCATTTTACATTGGAATGCTTTTTAAAACTTACACTTAATAACTTACAGAGAATTTTTTGGTGGCAATAGTTTGTGACTGCTTCTAAATTAAGGTTGACCTAACATACATTTCACTCTGAAAAAAATGCAGAATACCTGCAACTTTTAGAGGGATGCCAGGTTGTGTAACAAAATACAGCTATTTTCTAATTTTTGGCAGTTCTGTAACAGTTGGAGACTTGTAAAATGTTTCTCCCCCAGAGCTTTTAAGTTTAAAACCAGAGGATTTGGTTCATGATGTCTGTCAAGGGTAGAGATGGAATTAGCTCCAATTCTGAAAAGTTTCTCTGTGTAAGATTAGAAGAGTGCGTAAAACCTCTGAAGTCTATTGCAATTTTAGACATTGCTATGATTTCCTAAAAACAGGTAATAACATTTGCATAAGGCAAGAAGAGAAATCTTGTTAATTTTTGCTGTGTATGTCCATACATACACAATTGCAAGTGAAATGGAGTAACATTAAGCAACTTTAAAAATGTCTTGCACCTTCTTTTTTTTCAACTGAATCTCAAGCTGAATTTCTTTGATGTGAATTCATAGGGCTGGAGGAGAATAGTGATACAGCAAAATTATGAATATTTTCTGTAAATTAGCAGAAATGTCTTGTTTCATGCAGAATTTATGCAGACTTACTGCGACATAGAGGAGGCTCAAGCAAAAGCAATAAAGCACATCACCAACTTACTAGAAAATGAAAGTGGTAAGGTTCAGTACGTCAGTGCTTTATTTTATTGTGTTCTCAGTCATTGCTTGTGCTTTGGGAATACAGAAAAAAGTAAATCCTGCCCTTGGCTACAAATGAAGATCTGTAGAATTGTTGTCATCCTGTTTTCCATGTGTGTGCATGCTGAAATGACCCACAAATTGTTCCAATTAGTAATTGTCCTTTGGGAAAAGCTTGGATTGAAATAGCGGAGGCATTGTAGAACAGGACTAAAGTACCCTTGCAGACCTATGCGGTGTTTCAGGTGGGTGGTTTAGGTCAGTAACTGGGTGAGTTGACAGCAGTGCTGGTGGACTAGACAAGATGCATGTATTTCAGAGATCTGATGACTCACAGGACTAGAACTGTAAGGGGTGTTGCAGAGTGAAATCCTAGTATTTTGGGAAAGCTGTGGGGAAGGTTATATAGCCATTCCCAACATTATGCCTTATTTGAGTTGTGCCACTGAACAATTCTTAAGTCCTTCAGGAGCACTTAGAGTTTGACAAATTTCACTATATGGTACTCTGATTTCAGCTGAATCTCATGTTTAGCACTGACGTTGACTTTCAGTGTTAAAAATGCTTATAGACTGGTTAGTCTTGTAATGTAGTGATTTGACGTGCTGAGACTAGGTTGAAAGCATTAAGGGGAAAGAAGATTGTTATTTCCTGACAACTCTGAATTCATGTTAAATAGCTGAACTGAAAAGGGTGTTTTCTGACTTGTTATGTTATCAGTAATAGTGTGAATGTGTGTGCTTGGCTTCTCAGCAGAGTCTTCTATCAGCAATAGTAGTCCCACATTTCCAATTGTGGATATTTGCTAGGCTAAAACTTTTGTACCGTGGTTTAAGCAGATCCTTATATCTGTGAGCATGCTTAGAATAGGTCCCAAGAGGTCGTGTGAGTTCCTTTTATCATCAAGTTTTGTGGATGAATTACTTTTGATTAGTTGACTCTCTGCTCAAAGACTTGCTGGATCTTGGAGAACTACTCAAGTAATCTCCCCCACACATTCTGAGAAATCGTTTATGAGCCCTCCCATATCAGCATTCAGCACACATCACTCGCAATATGGCCAGCCAGTATGGGCTTGCAGCTTACTAGGAACCTGATGCCTATCTGTAATTTGGACGAATGGACATTTTAGAGCGGTTCCTTTTCAGTACAGAGCTACTGTTGTAGAGATGATAGGCCTCAATGTCTGTTGATTTTATTTTGATCTCCATACCTTTCATTTCAGATTTAGAACATTTTTCACTCATCTCTGCTGTACCACGTCATGCCTAGTAGATTAAACCTGTCCTGAAACTAGGAATTCCATGTAGTATTGCTGTTAGGAAGTATAGAGTTCAGCAGAGCTGATAGTGTTAATGAATATTGACTGTAATGATTCCTTTCCCCACAGCCTTAGGATATCTGCTCAGACTTACAAGACCTGTCACTTCTGCAATGAGGACTCACATAGATTCTCTTGAACTACAATTAGATGGCTGCAGATTATTGTTTGATGTTGTTGGCCAAGGTACAGTAGTGGGATTTCATATGAAATGTTGGGCATCTTGCAACATCACATGTAGTGAACAAGATTGAAATAATAAAGTTGATAATTTCTAAGAGGTATATTTATAGTTATGTTGGGAATTTAGCCAACTATAAGAGGATCTTGCATTCTCAAGTTTGGATCAGGGCTGGCACTGGGGCTTTTGGGTATGTACAAAAGTTACATGTAGATCAACTTAATGGGCTTTCCCTGTGCTGCTCTTGGAACTGGTGAACGCCTGTACACTTTGCTCCTGGGTTACATTCATGTGGCTTTAAATGGCTGTGTGAATGTAGACCAGGTGTAGTGAACAAGTGTAAGAGCCCTTTGTGTCCCAAGCTTTTCAAGACACCTTAAAGCTGTGTAGGTTGGTGGGGAAGGGGCAGACACCAGACCTGGTTGGAACTAAACTAGCGCCACAGCTCCTGGCTTTCCAAAGCTTTCGTGCAGTGATCTTAGCAGAGAGTTTTTCCTGCAGCTCTCTAGATTATTCTGGAGGAGGTAGTCTGGCAGGAATTTGCCCTAGAAATTGGGCACCCTGAATGGTTTCCTGTGTCACGTCCCCTGAATGCCAACCTGATTTTGAGAGCTTATAATGGTAAAAAAAATTAGAAGGAAGGAGGACCATAGTTGAGTGATCAGAAGATAATTTAGATAGGTGAGTCTCATCCATGAGGACTCTAATTCTGTGGAGTTTCATATTGATGGAATTGGAATAAATGAATTTCTCTTGTTCGGTTTGGCCGCTTCCAGACAAGTGCAGCCATGTGGTACATGGTGCTGCAAACACATCTGCGGTGCCACATAACACGCATTTAGATGTTCTCTGCACTGCAAGGGAGCACTGCCCGCATGTGCGCTGCTCCACTTTTCTTTTTGCGGGTTTTTTTGACCCCTGAATAAAAAAAGTGGAGCAGCTCATGCACAGGCAGCGCGTGCCGCATAGAAGAGGAGCCAGGCCTCTCGGAGTTGTGCTGCGGCTGTTGGCCTGGCTTCACATGACAGAATGGCCACTGCTGTAGCCCCAGGAGGCCCCGGGTAAGGCTGCTGGGGCCAGCCCAGTGCTGGCCTCAGCCTCACCTAACCCACCTGGGGTAACCTGCCAGTGCCAAAGCATGCTGTGTGGCACGGACATTCCCAGGGGACAGCTAGCAACAGTGCAAGGTGCACCACCGCCACTTGTTCCCAGGGAAACAAACATCCACACTTGTCTGGATGCACCCTTAGTGTCTCTGATCTTATAGATATTAAGTAATACCGCCTTACAAAGAATATCAGGGTTGTTTTATATTTCCTTTTGCAGAGTTACTAGGGTTTATAAACAAGTGACGTGATTCTGTGACAAGGTTAAATTTTCAGGGCATACAAATGCAGTGTGCTACAAAACGGGAAATTGAATATGTGAGCTCCTGGCAGCTTTTGTATGTTTGCCATGGTGTTCTTGTCTATGCCTTAGCGTCACAGTTTGTAGGCTGTGAATGTAGGTTGCTATCTAATGAAATTTTTTTTTCCTAGAGGAGTAATGCATATTTTGAAGATCCGAAAGAAATCAAGTCTCCTGGGAAAAAATGACATCATCAGGAATTGTCCCTCTTTTTCACTTTACTTAGGTTCCTTTCTTCATTTCATGATATTATTTCCTGCGTTTATTTTGGGAAATTGAGACTAAAACTGAGACATAAATGACATTTGATTGTAGGAAAGAGAATTACAATACAAGACTCTGTTAATTTGAGAAACGTTGCTTGCTTCATGTCAAAGCTGTGGGGAGGACAGGAATATTAGATTTCAGTAAAAACATCTGCAGCCTGCTCGTGTTGATTGTTGTTTTATTTTTGACAGCACTAGAACAGAACCTGGATGTGGAGGTGGTAATTGATGAGGATGTAATCAACTCTCTGTTAAAGACAATGAGAACATATTCAGAAAATGAAGAGCTGCTCTCCTTGGTCTGCACATTATTGATGATGATTTCGATCAGTGGTGGGTCACCTTGTCCTTTTAGATAGGCATGGTCTCATTTTCCACATTTATCGCTCTTGGATTAGATAGATAGTGGATACCTCTATTATTTGGTTTAGAAATATTGCTGCGTGAAGTTATGTTTCCATTTCAGGGGCATTAATTTGCCAGTTTTATTTGTAATGTGTCATGGAGCATGAGCATATGTCTTGATACTGTTCGGGGCTGGATGTACTAAGGGGGAGATTTTTTTCAGCCTTGATTGGGTAACTAGTAACTCTTGTTAACTCATGCAGATAGTAACACTTGGGAAGATTGTGGCATAGAATCTTGTTTGCCCTTCTGGCTCTGCTTTAGGCTCTTGGTGCTGACCAGACAAGCTACTTAATTTCTCCATGTCCGAGTTTCTCAATACATTGTATTCATTTGTATTAGTTTTTTCCAAGGCCAAGTATTTCATAGACATTAGGGCTGGAAGGGACCTCAGAAGATCATTGAGTCCAGCCCCTTGCTCCAGGGGCAGGAAGTCAGGAGGGGTCATAGGATCCCAGCAAGATAAACATCCAAATTTCTCTTGAAGGCGTTCAAAGTAGGTGCTTGAACCACCTCCAGTGGCAGGCTATTCCAGACCTTGGGGGCTCGGACAGTAAAGAAGTTCTTCCTTTTGTCCAGCCTGAAACGGTCTTGGAGGAGTTTATGACAGTTCAACCTTGTCATCCCTTGGGGCGCTCTTATGAACAAATGTTTCCCCAGATCCTGGTGAACACCCCTGATAAATTTATAGGTTGCCACCAGATCACCCCTGAGCCTGCACTCTTCCAGGCTGAAGAGTCCCATAGCTCTCAGCCTCTCATCATAAGGTCTGTTATCCTGACCTCTGCTCATGCGTGTGGCTCTTCTCTGGATTCTCTCCAGCTTCTCCATATCCTTTTTGAATTGTGGAGCAATTAAAATATTAATATTATTATTTTTACATCTTTATGGTACCTATTCAACTCAGGATACTACCTAGGTACTTCTTGTAAAGAGTTAAGGAAGTGTTTTGTTAGTAAAGAGATTTGAAACTGTCCTAAAGTGTTAAGTATTTAATTTCAATTTATAAAAACATAAAAGTGGGACCTGAGGCACTTTTGACTTGGTAGGTCATTTTGAAAAACAACTTAGTGTTAATGGGATTGCTATAGCGACAGCTATTTGAATGGTAGCAATTACTGTGCTCTCAATAACTTTTATTTAATTTCCTTGTAAAGCTCAAAACTGTAACGGCAAGGGATAAGTTCATTCAAGTAGTTTATGAAAAGACTATTTTTACAAGCTCTGTGTGTGGTTGTTATTAATAATCCAGTTCTTTTTATTTCACTTTGCTTCATTCTGCCTTTGATTGTATCTTGTTACTCCTTTGTTTTAAGTGTATCTTGTTACTTCTCTTAATTTTGTTGGGTAATGGTGCCAGTAGCAAGAACCACAGAGAGAAATTAAGCCTTTTCTCTGCTTATTAGAAATCGCTGCAGAAAAACTGAGGAAAGCTGGAGTCATCTCGGATGTCCTGACTATTACAAGCAATTTTCTTCATAATGAAAAAATCTGTGCCTCTTGCTCCGGAGTTCTCTGGAGCTTGGCTTCAAATGGCAAGTAGAACATTACAGTATTCTTGTAGTTATGGGTGAATCATTTCTGTATTTGGGGACAATGGGGTTTTGGAGAACGTGTGTTGTAGAGCGCTTTGCTGGAATAGCATTAGAGTCTTCATTGCCAAGTGAGCTGTGGAATAGCATAGTTTAGAGAACAATACAAACTTCTCAGTACTTTTGGTTGCAGTAAGGGTGCAATATGCAAATCTTATGGTGACTTTGGTAGGGTGATGATGATATTTTAAGTAAGTAGCTTTCTAATGCTCCTACATTGTGTCCTGACTCTGTTTCCAGAAGAGATTGTCATACAAGCCTTTAACCATGCTTGTGAATGAGTGTGCATGCCTATTTTCGTATCAAACTGCAGTTTCCATTTTGTTCTGCGAGCATTTTGATAGTACATTTTTTCTGCAGTCTCCATATTACACTGTAAGGCTTAGAAGGAATTCTTACACCTGGGAGAGCTAGAGGGTCAGCAACCTCTATCTTCTCTTCAAACAGAAGTCCCCTTGACTGAGGAGGTGGCCTGACTTACAAAACCAGTTGGCCCAAGAAGTATGGTAATTAAGCCACAATTCATCCAAGAAGGTGTCTGGAGCTCTGTGCCATCATGGCTAGACTTCATCTGGTGCACAAGTCAGTTCATTTAAATCTAGTTCAGGCATCTCTATACTGTACTCTCGTCTGCAATGCAAATACACTCTTTGTGTTTGAAGTCACGAGGCCCTAGAGGGAGAAACTTGAATCCAAGTGCCCTCATGGTGGTACTCAGGGAAAGGATTTGCTTAAATTATTAGGATTTTAGATGCTGTACTGGATTAGCCCTGGCCTTGTGGGACTACAGCAGCTGGATCATGAGGCCCCATTTCTGTGAAAGGATAATTGTCTGTGCTTATTGTTCCTGGGAGACCAAAGAAGGAGAGACTGCCAGAGCCATGAGGCTAAGAGGGGCATAAAAACATGTGAACCCGTTGTGCTGGATGCAAACCCAACAGCCTGGCGAGTGTTCAGAGAGGGGGAGTTTGACCTGGATGGTGACATGGCTATTCTGTTTTATAGGTTTGTCATATTTCACAGTCTAAAAACTCAGAAAAAAATGGTAGTTGCAGCAGAAAGACATAGCTGGTGAACACCAATCAGCAGAATTTTCATGGTGCTGGTACTGATTTAGTGCCATAGCATGGCATTAAAGGGCATTATGGTGATGTTTGAGGTGAAACGTTTTCAGTGAAAGGAAAATATGAGGCTTTGACCATTTGGGAGTATTGACCAATTCCTGCCTATTGAAAATGTTCCTGCAGGTTCAACTATGTATTTTCCTGTGTGATCTACTGGTATGATTCCTGTATGCTGTGTTCTGTCCTGGAAGGTTAGATGGACCCAGTGCAGTATATACTAGTTTGTATGTCATAATATAATTGCAAAGCCCTAGGAGATGGAAGCAGCTGAAATAATGCAAGATTATTTTTTTAATGTAAAAAAAAAAAAGGTAATCGTAGGAATCTGGAATATCTTAAAATAAACCATATATTACAGGGCTTATTTAAACAGTGAGGTTGAATGGAGTAAAGCTCCTTTCTCGGTACCTTTTAAACACTGAGGAATTGTTTGTTTGTGATGTAGTCTGTTCGCACTATGTAATATTAAACAGACTGTATTTGATGTAACCATATTTTCTTGTAATTTCAGAGACTAATGTAGAGCGAACATTGCTGAAAAATGCTGCCCAAATAATCTCTGCAGTCCTCCAAGTGCACCATCAGAATGGGGAGGTGGTTGAGTCAGCTTGCTCTGCCCTCTGGGTACTGTCACTTCATGGTGAGCTTTGCCATTTTCGCAGAAGGGGTTAGTTTGGCAGAAGCACACACTGCAGATACTTTACTGTTCATTATAATGAATGTTAGGGATGACTCAGTTCTCCAAGTTATCTTAATACTATACAACCTGCTGTACCTTAGCTGGCTCTACATAGAGCTACACAGTTAGAATTATAACACCTAACGTTACATGTACTAGCTTTTCTCTAATGAAGTTTAATGTATTTTTAATACTGCTTCACCAGTTTAATTAAATTAACGTTGGATACTGTGGTTTTGAGTATGATAGAAGAACCTATATAGAACTAAATTTGACCTCTATGTTTGTTTTTCTAATGATGGAAAAATCCTATTTTTGCTATAGCGCCATCTATGTAAACCCCTGCAAATACAGCATCAGTGCTGTGGAATGCATTGCAGGGAAAAAAGTTATTGTTCATATGTGCTAACCACACCTTGGGAAGGAAGTTTCAAGTTACAAAGAAAAATATCTTGTCACTGTCACTATGTATAGTCATCATTGACTCCAAGATGAACATGGGCCGGAAATGTGGGGAGGCAGTTAGGAAGGCCAACCGCACCTTGTCATGCATCCACAGATGCATCTCGAGCAGGTCCAAAGAGGTGATCCTCCCCCTCTATGCGGTACTGGTCAGGCCGCAGTTGGAGTACTACGTCCAGGTCTGGGCGCCGCACTTTAAGAGGGATGTGGACAGCATGGAGAGGGTCCAGAGGAGGGCCACTCGCGTGATCAGGGGACAGCAGGGCAGGCCCTACGAGGAGAGGTGACGGGACCTGAACCTGTTCAGCCTCCAAAAGAGAAGGCTGAGCGGGGATCTTGTGGCCTTTTATAAACTAGTCAGGGGGGATCAGCAGGCATTGGGGGAGTCACTGTTCCCCCGAGCACCGTGAGGAGTGACCAGGAATAATGGTCACAAGCTGGCAGAGTGTAGGTTTAGGCTAGATATCAGGAGGCGCTACTTCACGGTCAGGGCAACTAGGGTCTGGAACCAACTTCCAAGAGAAGTGGTGCAGGCTCCTACCCTGGGGGTTTTTAAGAAGAGGTTAGATGAACACCTTGCTGGGGTCGTTTGACTCCAGTACTCTTTCCTGCCATGGCAGGGGTTGGACTAGATGACCTACTCAGGTCCCTTCCGATCCTAGAAACTGTGAAACTATGTATATACCTTCAGAGGGCCATTGTCGGAGTATGAACCCTGCACTCATGCTCCCCTGGAGATGCTGCCTGGATTAAATCAGCCTTGCTGCGTTTTTCTCCTACCGTTGTCTGTTCATGCTTATACAGGAGCTCTACCCATTTTCCATTTCTTGCACTATTAAAGTCTGCCCATCATCCTTCTAGCCCAAGTTAAAACAATGCCTAAGTAATGCACACACTCCTCTTCTCTCCAAGCACCTACAAATAGAGTAAGTGAAGCGTTTCCAGTTCTCCACTCCTGCTGGTTCATGGAGTGAAAGGCTGAGATGAGAAACAACCTAGATCCTCACAGAGTAGATGCTTCAGAACAGAGTCTAAGTCCTTGGACCATTCCTGATGCTTGGACTTTCTGTTAGTTTATATTAAAGTACAATAGGCTTGCTAGAGTTTATTTTTGTTGTTGGGGTATAGTAAAGGAATCCTTTTAGAAGCATGAGGCCAAAGCAGAAAGCAGTCATGGATATTTTTCTTCTCTTCAGGTTGCTTAACTGAAAATGAATATGAACCGACAACTGCGCTTGTGCTGGATGCTCTCAGGATGAACCTGGAACGCCCTGTGCTGGTGAAGAATGCCTGTCTGGCATTAGCAAGTCTTCTAAGGATGTCTGGTAAGACTCAAGGAAGGCTTTTTTAACCACAGCAGGTGGCATCAGCAACAGACATCACTGAATAGACTGAGGGTTCCTGTCAGGGTTGGGAGTTGCATCTGCCCTCCTGGAGCAGTCTTTTCTTTCCAACTCTGTGAGGAAAGCAGTCAGGCAGAAAGGCTGCTTGCAGAGTGAAAAAAATGTGCTTTACTTTAAACTTGGTGCAATCCTGTGCCAAACCCAGCACATGCCCAGAAGAGGCAGTGCAATAGTTTGACCCAGCTCTGCAGCGTCTGTATAGATCAAGTGCTTTAGTGGGGCTTTTTTGGCATTTCTATCTAATAGATGATTGAATCAGCTTTAGATGAAAGCACCAAAAAGCCTTATTGAAGTGCTCAATCTTTAGAGATGCTGCAGAATCGGGTCAAACTAATGTGCTGCTTTTTCTGATAAAGCACTTTTTTCATGTCTACAAGCAGCCATGAGTGTTTGAAGGAACTGGTGGATGGATCAGTAAGGGGATGAGGGACAGTATTATAAATTTTTGAAGTGCTTAAACTATTTCCTTCTCTCTGTTACTCACAATGGGTTTGTATCTAGTATATAAAAAAGATAAAGTGCTAAAGGTGAATAATAAATGATCAAAGAACATGCGACACACACAACGCAGTTTTGTCCTCCTGTACAATGTCAGTTGCTTGTTCAGTCTTTTATTCACCATCTAATGGTGCTTCAAAATAGCTTTTCAGTTCACAGACAGAACAGGTACCATTGGGCTAAGACTTTCAGATGTTCACCAGCAAGGAGAATGTTATTGGCATGTTAGCCATGTTGTTGTTAAGGTCATCTGTGCTTCCTGCTCAGACAGGAGGAAAAACGAATTTGTTAGGAAAACAAATAGCAAAGTTCAGAGATGCTAATAGCACTTGTCTCTCTCTTTCTTTCAGAGTTATCTGCTTTCAGATTTGTAATAACAGATTCAAAGGGTAGTGGAATAAGCCTGATCAAAGACTCCTACCACTTTCACTATGATGATCCAGAAGTGGTGGAAAATATATGCCTGCTGATAAATGAGATGGTTCAGTATGGTAAGGCCTTGATGATTTTACTCTTCTCTGGCCAGTCATTTTTGTTCAACAGTGCATAAAATGATTAAGGCAACAGAGAAAACCTCTGCACTGCAGATGAGCTCAGGAGCAGTGACTGGGAAATTATAGTTTGCTGGTTCCAGGGAAAATATTGGGTAATAAGCAATCCTCTGTTGTAGGAAACCTGAAATAGGTTTTCAAATTCAGGTTAAGTAATATTGCAAAAGTATAGTAATGCCATATCTGGGCTGTAGGAATAGCTTTTTTCCAGGCCATTCACCACAGTTGTACACACAGTAGAGCTGGACAATTTTTAAGTGCTGGGCTACAAAAGTCTAGATCCTATATAAAACCTCCTTTCTCCTTCTCTCTGGATTGAATTGCCGTGTTCCTTTTCATCACAGATCACATAGTGCCGGAGATGATCTCCCAGAACATGGAAGAAATGCTGACTGAAATGAAAATGAAGTATACATCCAGTATGGTACGTGTTACAATACAACACATATTTTGTTGTAACAAGGGTACATTCTCAATCTGCCCTTCGTACAAATGGTCCTATTTCCTGGCTCTGGACTGCCTAGTCATTCATTTCACCCAGAGGAAGATGAAGTGCAAGATTTTATCAGGGTCGAGGGCTAAGTACGGACTGTCAGCGTGAAGGATTGTTTCGGAAGGATGGAGTCTCTCTGAATATTTGTACTCGTACCAAAAAGTTAGCAAGTGGAAAGCATGGCTTTTCCAACAAACTTCATACTTTAATTGCTCTCACATCAGGTGAGGTTTGACTTTAGATGAGTTTCACCCAGCATTAATCTGCATATATTTATGAAATATTTAATATAAAAATGGACTAAAATATAAGGTATAACTACACTACAGAGCAGAGGGGGTGGGGATTGTCAATCTATTATCTCATTCATTAAAGTGAACTGTTGTGTGAGCTTGCTTTCCTGAAGCATTCTTTCAGTACATTCAAATAGCAACTATATTGCAAAATAAATTACCACTTGTTTCAACAAGAGCTACATATAGGCTTCAGTTAAAAATGTTAATAGTGTTGTTTCCTCCCTAAAGGTTTCTTACTACACATCCGCACTTTCAAATTTTTTTTTAGATGAAATAGTGAAAACCAACATAGCCCCTGGCCCTACTATGTTTGTAGATGTAATTTTCTTTCTTCTTTTCCTGGACTGTTTGCTGGACAGGCTAGTCACCGCATTTATACATAGCCACTTCTCTTTAGTTTCACCAGTAATTATTGCTCTTCCTGTTTTTAATAATATTGTGGGTATAAGGTGCTGCAGGAAAAAGTGAATCATGATATTATAGAACTCAAGTAGCCTCTCTCCTCTACCATGAATGTCTTCTCCCCTTTCTCTCCATTTACACACTGCACAGATATTGCTCACTATGCTTATATGCAACATTTCAACTATTGTTAAGTTCCTGTTCATAATTCTTATTGCTAATGCCATTCTTTATTATTCATATTTTTTTTTCTTTGCTGCTCCTCTTTTAGAACTAGCAAATTAATTACAAGAGTAAGGACTACAAAGTTAGTTGTCATGTTTGCTTATAGAATTTATGGTTCTAGCGCCCACAGTAATTTTATAGGGATGGACAATCCAGGCTCTTTTAAGTGTATATCAGGGATGGGGAACCGCCAGGCCACCGGTTGGCTGGGGACTTCATTTCCCAGCCACCCCTGCTGAGCCTTAGCCACGATGGCAGCGCGTGCAGCACAGCAGCACAGGCGGCTGCCCTGGAGCTGCTGGGATCTTGTGGTGGGGGCAGCTCGGTCTAGAGCCAGGGCAGATGTACTGACAGAGGCACTGTCTGTAGTCTGCACGCTGTGGGCAGGGGCACGCATGCAGGGGATTGTCGCTCTGCTCTGGCTCTTTGTAGCAGTGACAACCTGTTTACAGCTGGGGCAGAGCCATGATTGCAGCTCTGCCCTGGCTCCAGAGCAAACTGCTGCAAAATCCCAGCAGCTCTGGGGCAGTCCCCTGCACTACTCTGCCCTGTGGCTGAGGCTCAGGTCTCTATGGAGACTGGCACAAACCATGCGGGCAGGGGCAGCTGGGACAGGGAGTCCCCAGCCAACAGGATCCAGCCCGTAGGCCAGATGTTCCCTATCCTTGGTCAATAGAATATACAGGAAATAATTAGAGTTGTTACCATAGTTTTATTAATAAAACAGAGTAGTTATAACTGATGCTTCTCTCCATTTTTCTCCTCAGGAGATAATTACTCTTGCAGATACAACACTTTTGAAGTTACAGAAGGTAAAAGCTGGTCTATAAGAAGTCTGCACATCTTGTTTCTATTCAGGTAGAAATGGTCATTCCTTTCACATGCATTTCAACACATTTTTCTCCCCAAAGAGAGATACGGCCTGTATTATACAGCTATCAAACAATCTTCCTTGAAATATTCTCTCCAGTTGGCCACCAAATTGACTACCAGTTACCACAATCTGGACAATGATAGGATTTTGATGACCTGCTTTACTTTGTGGATTTAAAATTCCTTATGTTTAAAATATGAATAAAAATGAAAGTAATGAACTAAGGCCTAAACCTCATGTAATTAGTAATCTATAGCATCTGAAGTATAATGGCTTCTCTGTAAGGTTAGTAGTGACTAACCAGTTCACAGAGGATTCACCATAATGGATTGTCATAGCTATTCATTTACTGTGTACATGTTCTGACACTCGATATGAATGAAATAACTGATCCTTGGGAAAACATACAGCACTTCACTCCTTTCTTCCTCCTGTAATTACTATGTTTACTTACTGAACACTGTCAAGTTAGTTTTCTAGCCTGTCTTCACAGGTGATAGAAACTTTTAAAGCACATCAGGCATTTGCACACTGGCCACAAATTTTATGATACTGAGGGAAGTTACACTAAAGATGTTCATCTTTTGAGTTTCATTCACCTTAGGACTGAACAAGTATAGGAACCATACAACAGGCTGCTTAGATTCTGCTTGTCAAGGTGGCACAAGAAAGAGTGGGATTGGGGGTGTAGTAGTTGGTGTTGCTCCTAATTACTTAAAAGCCAAAAGTAAATGTCATTCTCCTTGGAAATCTAAATAAAAAAAAAAAATACTTAGAGCTGAGTGGTGAGTTTCTAATTTACTTCCAGCTAAGGCTTGGAGCAGCATTGTCTTTCAGTTGAGGAATTAACACCTTCCAGGACATATTAACTGTATGCAGAGCTTAGATGGCTAAAAACAATAGGTATACCACTACATACAGGAGGAAGAGGAAAGAGTAGATAACCTGGTTTCCCAGAAGCAGGCCCCAGGGTGGGAGGATCTTGTGTTGCCAAAGTTTCAAGTAAGAAAGGATAATAAATACAATGATACACTGTACTAGCAGAGTACACAAGGGCTTCCCATAGCGCTGTGCAGGCAATCACTGCAGTGGATGAAGATCTCCAAGTTTTCAACCTCCAGCTCATGGTGCTTTTATGACACATTCCCTTTGAAAGCCTTGTTCTTGCATATATGGAAAAAAGTAACCACTGTCAGTTTCAGATTGCTTTCTCTGAGTGATTAAAGTTTTATTTTTTCTTAAGTTTGATTTTTTCCTTGATAGCTGCTTCCCACTGCTTTTTCTCAAGTGTGTACAGTCTCATAGCTGCTTGTGCATCCTGAATCTGAAAGATAATGGAACAAGCAACAGGTTAAAGAAAGGCTGAAATGCTCTAGTCAACATTTTCCTTCCCCCAGTAAATGCACCCTTTTATTTCAACTGAAATTTTAACCTCTCCTCCCCAGTGTAAGATTTAAGGGGGAAAAGAGACTAGTCATTCAAAAAAGCAGAATCCAGATCAGAAGGATGTAGTGCAGCTAGCACAAACTGGTAATCCCTTGCTTTGAATAGGACCTCTGCCTCCTGACACTATTACCAAACATGGTATTTTGGAGCATTCTTGTCAACTTTCCCCACTCTTTCAGACATCTCTGTTTGCTCCTTCCTCTTACCTACCAAAGAAGTCCTGACTACTACAGATGGAATAGAAGGCTAATTAATCACCTTTCACCTGCTCCTTTTACCAGCTGTAGGTAGAATGGCACAAGACACTGACATTAGGACACAAAGTTGATATAAAAGTCACCTTTGCCATACTGTTTCTCTCAGGAAACTTAAGAGATTTAGATGCAGTATTATAGAATTTGTTTATGGAGGGTAAATAAAAATATGTAAGTAAAGCAACTGGCCCAATGCAGGGAAGCACTGGACAGCCCTTACTTAAACAGGTGTAAATAGTGTCCTGGATAGAGGCTGCAAAGCCTTAAGTAAAATTTGAACCCAGGGTTCCAGAAGCTGAAGCCTAGTACATCACTGATCCACAGAATTCTGTTTTTCTCATGGGTGTACGTACCGAACAATGCTCCGATGTCTGCACTTTCACATTCAGCAGTTTCTCACAAAGCAGTTTCAGTGATGGGCGTCCACTCTAAAGGCAAAGCCAACAAAATCACACACTAGCCAAGTCAGAAAATGAAATGAAATATTCCCCCCACTGCCCTGAAGGCACTAACTTAGGCCAAGTTTTGCAGTCATTTTTAAATTAATTAGAAAGGTAAGGCTTAGATTAAGAACACTTCCAACCACAGCAGGTAGCAGATTCTGTGCACAAACTGGCAAGATGAAGACTTAAGCCAGGTGTTGTCAACCTTATTTAATAAGTATACTCCCAGTGGACCCCTTTTTAATAAGTGTACCCCTGGGGGGGGGGTGGCGAGTGGTGGCAGTGCAGCGTCTGTGCAGCCCTGCTCTCACCCCGCCCGGGCCCTGCTCCTGTGAGGCAGCAGTGTGGGGTGGCGGTGCGCCATCCCTGCCTCATCCCACATACCCCCTGGGACTATTCAAAGTACCCCCAGGGGTATGCGTACCCCCGACTTAAGCCACTGACAGATCAATTCAGACATCTATGCTTGTAAATCCCTTCAGCAGAACTGGATGAATGCAGCAATGTAATCAGAAGCTGCATATATGATCTTTTAATATTTAGCAAGAGGAGAGAGAAAAAAAGTGTGTTCTGTTTTGAACTGTAAAATGTCACGTGTCACATTGAAGTCAACTGTTACATCTTCCATTTCTGAGGTCATGGAAGTAAACTATATTTTGTAAATTTAAGCAACTGATTCTCTAAGCAATATCCCACAACAAGTAAACAGGCTGTATGTTCACCTTTTAATGCCCTATGTTTTTGCCCAGAAAAGTGACAGGAAAACCAGCCTTCCTAAGTCATGTTCGAGAAATTGGGAGAGCCATTGAACTTACTGCACACAAATGTTGTAAGTAATCTTTATCAGCAAAATATTATGTGGTATTTTCAACATTTCAAGGGCTGTTTAAATACTCAACTAATTAATCCTTTTGAATGGCAGGGGCAGATATCCCTATTTTACAGACAGATGCAAGAGGGTGACGGGGGGTAGGCCAAACTCATTGGCTGAACAAGAACTGGAGCTTCTGACTCCCAGCTTCATACCTAGTCCTCTAGAAATTTTGGCCTGGAACTACTTCAAAATATGAACTAATTATGAAGTTCAAAATATGAACTAATTCCCAAGTTCCTTACTTTGACTTTCTGTTTGAAAGGTTTATATCTTTGCGTGTCCCGAATATTCTTCTTAGGATGGTCAAGAAACAAGATCTGAAAGAAAAATATTTGCTCTGTAAATAGGTTATTTTGTACATTCAACTACATTGCAGCTAGTCATCCTTCCACCGGCAGAAAAGACAATTCACAATGAGAGCAATTCTGATTGAGAACATTCAAACAGGGGATGCATAACCTGGCAATGACGGTGGCCATCTTCATGGAATTGTAGAAGTTGGGTCGGAAGGGACCTTATAGATCTTCAAGTCCGACCCCCTGCCAGGGCAGGAGAAAAAAACTGGGCTCAAATGATCCCAGCTAGGTAGGCATCAAGCCTCCTCTTAAAGACCCCCAGAGTAGGAGCCAGCACCACTTCCCTTGGAAGTTGGTTCCAGATCCTAGCCGCCCTAACTGTGAAGTAGTTCTTACAGATGTCTAATCTGAACCTCCTCTCCAACAACTTGTGGCCGTTATTCCTTGTCATGCCAGGGGGTGCTAGGGGAAACAAGGTCTCTCCCAAATGCTTCTGGTCCCCCCTAGTGAGTTTATAGATTTCAATACAGATGTGCTTCCTATGGAGATGACAAGGCCATTGTGCACATTGCTCCTGCCTGAGCAAAGTGGAATGCTAGTCTCTGAATTAAAGATGCTGTGGCCCTTGCCTTACTGCAGCTCTTCGCAGGCAGTGCTACAGCTATCCCCAAATATGAAAATAATTTGATCAACTTGCTGTTTGTTTCTAGACTAGAAGGAAACGTTGAATGCCTGCTTTGTTACCTGTACAAATTGGACTGCTATACAATATGGTGTCCAGCACAGGTGGAATCTGGTTATTAAGACGTTGCCACCTTAAGCTTAAAAATCTCTAATCTGTTTTCTTGGGTAACAAAAAAATCACTGAAGTTTTACCTTCAAAGCAACAAGTATGGAGATGTGTACCTTTAAGTCATTGTGGACAGCATGCCCAACTAAAATCCTTCCTCTCAAGATGTCAGCCACCTCCTCCTGAACCTTTTTAAAGTCTTCTCCTGAAAATGCAACATAAAAATATGGTTTCAACATGGACATTAAACAGCAACTTAGCAAGTTGAGTGAGCATTAGAAAGGCCATCATGTGTGGTGGTCACTTTCTTAGGACCCAAGATGCAGAAGAATGCAAGATTCTTGTACTTTGTCATCCCCTGCTTGTTCAGAGGAAGCAAAAAGGAGGCCAGGACAGGTGCCTTGCAAAAAAAAAGTTGAAACAGTCAACTTCCACTTGTTGGTCCAATGCTAGGCTCGCATTTACGCAAGTGTTAGAAACTACTTTTTTACTAGGGCAACAATGGCCTTTTGGGGCAAATTGCGTCTTCACAGAATTTTTTATTCATGCTCCCCTGCAGTATTCTTTTTATATTTAGAGAGATTAAGGTTGTGCAAGTGCTTTATTCCTTGCTCAAAAAATTGAATTCAGCAGACTCCTGATACACTGACTACACTGACAGTAACTCAGTAAGTTGCATAAGGTTTTTCTTAAGGATGTTCTGGGGAAGGCCAACCTACTTACCCTTCTTTGTGTCCTCAGGCCGTATCCCGCTAACTTCTGTCCTGTAATCAGTCACCTTTTCCGTAGGTTTGACATACTTGTCATAAATGCACTTTCCAAACTGGTTCACAATTGACACACGAGCCACAATGCTGTCTTCCCCCTGGGGCCCCACTCCTACCATTTCACAGTCCATGGCTACAGCTTTTGTAAGTCTAAAAGAGGAAAACGGACACGCAGATTAGAAAGCCCTTGCTGAGATTGCATACTTCTGACTGCTATGCTGACAAGTGAGGCACCAGTTAACAGAAACAGAACAGTTAACACTACAGAGCAGCTATAGTCTCTGCAGACTCACGAAGACATTGTTGCATACTCTGTCCACGGCTGTAAGAATGGGAGTAAGTTTTTGATACCTCTGATTATACTGTCGGTACTTGCTGCATTAGAAATACAACCTACCCACTGAAAGCCTTTTCTTTAACCAGCACCTGTTCCACAGTTGGTTTGGACGTGCTTTCAAGTCCCATTTTTCTTCTAGCAACTTTTGCTGCTTCAGGTCCTATTGCTGCTTCAATATCCTCTGGATCAACCCCATCAAACCAGATGTCATCCCTGGTAAGCAAAAGGTAAAAGGACCTTTTTAATATGGTTGGATTTGACTTTTTACAGTTTGGGTAAACTTGATGTTTACAAAAGAAAAGTAGTTACCTAGTTTAGTCCTAGTCAGAGCCAACTAGTTCAACAACCTGAGCATGCAGACCACAGTTTTGTTCAAACATCTGAATAACTGGGTTAATCAGAGTGGTTTTTACTTCTCTTATCCCAGGCTCCTCAGGGATACCTTGTCTTTGAACTTCTTCCCATTCCCGTATCCAGTTGAGCCTTCTGAGCTGCTGTGATTCTGCAGTCCAAAGTCTAAATTCTGAAGTCAAAAAGTCCCCAAAATAGTTGTTTGAACTGTAACCTCCCCTATCTGAATGGGAAGGGAAGAGAACTGCAGTAACTTGGTAGTAGGGAAGAGGTCTGAAATACTTAGGTGGATATATCATAAAGGAAAGAGGGTTTCCCTCCCTCAAGAAAAAGCACAGCATTGCATTAGCCTTTATTTTGTTATTCAGCTGCCACTAAAACAGTTTAAAGCACCGACATAGATGAGCATAAGGTTTAAAGTACTCACTCTGTTGGCGGCTGTTCTGCTGCGTGCTCTTCAGCTTTCCTCCTTTTATGCTTTATGTCCCCCTGCTTCTTCTCACTATTGCCGTCTTCCCTTTTTGTCTTGAACTCCTTTCTGTTGCTCCGGGCATCACCCAGGCTCTTGCCTGGCGCAGTTCTCTCCGATTTCGCATTTGTCGGAGAAGGTCCAGCTTGGCCAGAATCACCCTCCATCTGGTTTACAGCCTTGAATTTTACCGTGTTCCTGCTGCCATAGACGGCTGGAATCCCTTCGACATCTTTCGTCGCGTGCTGTGGCTTGGAAGACGTTTTGGAAGCTGGGAGGGATTTTGCCAAGTCGGCTGTCTTCTGTTTCAGCACCTAAAGAAACACCCAACAATTAACTGGAGCGTTCCGACTTTAACGTCTTCCTCCCACCTGAAATCCACCAAGCCCCATTGACATTTTTTCTGGGGGGGAAGAGATCCCAACCTCCAATCTCACAAGGAGATTTTCCTTAAAAAGCATCAAGGATTAAGGTGTCTAGGTTCAGACGTTAGATGCTCAAAGGCCCCACAGGAGGAATGAGGTGCTCTACCCTGGCCAAAAGCTACAGGCAAGCTCCTTCAAGTAGACGAGACATCTTTCATTAGACTAACTCAGTACTTGGGGAAAAGCTTAGTTTCAAAATGGATTTGAATTTAATAAGTTCTTAGCTTAAGAAGTGATTTGAATTTAAAAAAAGTTTCTAGTTTAAAATTGATTTGAATTAAAAAAAGATCTTGGGTTAAAACTGATTTGAATTTAAAAGTCCTTAGTTTTTCCAATGCTCACTCGGTCTAATACCAGGAGAGAACCAAGCCCAGCCCCACCCCTCCTGCAGCGCCCGCCAGTTGGCGGAGAAGTCCCGCGCCGCCGTCGGGGGCAGCGCCAGCGCCCCCCTCGGGGCTCTCGCCGCGTCCCGTGCCGCCGGCCGGAACCACCGCCTCCTGCCCTGCCTCGGCGGCGGCATCACCCCAACCCCGGCTCCGGCCCGCCCCGCCATGGCCCCGC